ATCAAATAGACCCTTATCCGCGGCCAACTCATTCAGGGTCCATGACTCCGCAGGATGAAAAAAAACCGTGGATGAGTCCATCCCTTCGTTAGGGACTGTGTTCCAGTCACCCCTTACCACCAGGTACTCGGTGTGGGGAATGACATCTTGTAGAGAGCGAAAAAAATCAATTTTTGAAGCACGATCTGCAGGTGCATACACTGAGCAAATGCACCAAATTTGGTCGCCAATTAGACAGGACAATTTAACTCATCTACCTACCTGATATGTTTCTACCTCAGAAACCGGTTTGGTCAGGGAACTATGGATTATGATTGTTGTGCCGCCCTTTGTGCCATCTGTTGGGGACCAGGCATGTGGGTCGGTCCACCAGCTCCCAAGCTCTGTCAGTCTGTCATTGTTGAGCTTGATTTCCTAAAGTAAAATTATCTAGGACTTGCTTTGATGAATCCAACTTTTAAGTCGTGCCCTTCTGTGTTTCCCATTACCGTCTACTAACCCACGGACGTTCCATGACGCTTTCTTAACTCTAGACGCCATCCGCAACAACGGACGGTGCCTTGGGTTGGATGGCGCCTGAGACTGCTTCTGCACTAAGTCTTGCTACCTTAGCTCTTGAGCTGGCATCCTAGATGACCGCCTGGTCCACAGCGGTTCTGATCAACTTTGCGAAGTGGCGAGAGAAGAGCTTAAGCTCGCCCTGAAGCATTTCGTTGATTTCCGTGATTAGCTCCCCTCTTATGTCGTCTCCCGAAAATGGGATGATACGCTCGTCGCTGCTGGCCTTGAACCAGCTCAAAGGGGCCTTCTGCAGCCTTTGCGGGATCCACATCAGGGATGGCTGCGGCGTTGAGGCACAGAGCATGCAAAGTGTAGATTTTTCTTGAAGCGCCGACTTTGATAAAATTGAGTAGATGTTGGTTCGGGATAGGCCTGACAGCGAATCTATTCTGAACCAGCTCCATATCCAGTTTCAGCATTGTAACTGGGTCTGGTGGAGATTGCAGGGAGCCATATGCAATATTGTAGCCTCCATATTCGTTTATTTGCAGAAGGAGAAACGAACCTTGGCTCGTTGATTTGAAGATAAGGGGAATAGCCACGCTGGATTCTTTGCGGTTGTTATGCCCAACCTGCTGAGTCCCAGAGGGTCCTCGGGATTCAAAATGGTTGTCATCCAACTCCAGTGGCTTGGTGCGCTTTATTGCATCGTATCTGAAGTTCATGTCCATCACCATAGTCGTGCCAAGGCCCTGGACATTCCATCCGGTTGTAATGGCACTGCTTGCCTCACCACTCCCTGCACTGGTAGCGACAGTGGTGGTACCTGGAACCAGAGGCCCCTCAGGGGTTTTGTTGTCTCCTAGTGAAGTGTCAATCTCTGAGCTAGATGCATTACCATCGTTAGAAGTCGACTCAAAGCTAGGATATTTCCACTCTTGGACCTTTTGTACCCATTTCATTAAGCTGCTGCCCGTTAGTGACTTGAGTACATGTGCAGATGTAGCCGCCGCCGGGCCAGCGGCTGTTGGATTGTGAGTGGTTTTATCAAGGTGGCTTTTGCCCCGACCCTGGGACTGTGGTTTGCCTCTACCCTGTCCTTGTTGTCCTCTTCCTGCCGCCTGTGGAGGCTGGAGAAGAGGATTCAACCAATGGAATGAGTGTGATGATTGACCTTTGTCTTGAGGTGATGGAGCGTTGCTTCGGGGGCCGTATGGATTCAATCTCGTTGGTGGGAAGGGACCAGGGGTTGGGATCGTCCCCTTCCCCAAGGAGGTAGAACCTTGTCCCGACGGTGGGATTGCTGGTACTGGCTTTGCCAGGTCATTACCAGTCACCCCCTCAGTGCAGAGGCGCTCTTCCGATGATCTGATGTACCGGTTGCACCCTTTGCACCATGGGTGGTTGTTGTTCACCAAATCTCCTATCAGGTGCTCCTTGTCGGTGAAGACTTTGATGGTCCTGACATATTTAGCCTCTGCCTTTGGGTGGAGGCCAAACTTCAGGTTGCCTAATCTGGGATCAATCGGGTCCCTAATGATATCATATTCCGTGATGACTTTCCCCATGATCTGTTCAATATCAGACTTAATGTAAAAGGAAGCATTAATGGGAAATCTGATTATCGTTACCCAGTAAATCTTCCTTTTTTCTTCTTCCCCGTGTTGAATCCAATCTGCCCGAGACATCCATAGATGAAAGAGGATTTTGTAAGTCTTAGTTTTATCCACAAATAGTTTGAACCCTTTCGTGATCATCCATTCGACTATTTCGGGGTATTTTGCGATGTAGGTGACATGTGCTTTGCTCTCAATGTGTATCAGGCCCCTATGAGACATGAGTTTGTCTTCAGGTAGCAGCGTGTCTTCAAGTGAACGGATCAAATCTATTTTCTTATCGTTCCTCAAATTCTTTGCCTCCCCCTGGAAAAGTATTGCGACCCCCATCGTTTTGAGGAAGTCTTCCTCCACTGCTTGGATAGTATCATTCGGTCTGATTTCAATGCAGTTGGCTTCTTCGTCCACAGTAGTCTCAATGTATTGAGAGACATCCTGTGTCTCGTGGTTGATGTACCATCCCCCCACCAGGTTGGCGAGGTGGGTAAGCTCCTCCTTTGGCAAGGATGAGATTGCGGTTCAGCAGCAGAATGCACCGTATCGGCCGCTGCTACCTTTATCATCCCTGGCTGGTGGGGTTGTATCGCTACAGACCAAACGAGAGGGGTGTGTGTTGTTCTTGAGTGAGGACGTGAGGCGGTGTTCGTGAGCTCCGAAGGTTCAGTTCCAGTGACGAGGGAGTTACTTTGAGTAACTGACCTTACTTTGCTGCCAAGCGTTCTCTGCTGCAACGCCTATCTCCTACAATTGGTCGCGGATTTCAGAGTTCGATATAGAGGTATCTGATATCCATTAACAATGAGTGGTGTTGGGTAGAACAATATCAATACGGCTACGTGACACCCACGGCCTAGGCCGCGGGCAATTCGGCTGCCGCGGCCGAAAAAGTCATCCGCGGTTGTGGCCTCGTTGTTTAATATTTTTTTTATACCCCTAAAAATACGTAATATATATATATATATATATATATATAGGGTTGTAGGGCTTGCAAATATATTTTTTATTTTGGAATCCGACCTCGTTTAAGATTTTTAAAAAATGAAAAATGAAAATCGTGCAATGAACCCAGATCGTGAAGACAGTCATCGACAATGCAAGCCCGAATGAATGTCAATCAGGTGATGATTATCAATAGCCAAAATCGTATCCAGACAGAATGAGATGAGATAATCATACACAGACGAAGAGAGAGGAGGTAGATTAGACAAAGGAGAGGAAATTACAAGGTTCACCCCTGCTTCGGGCTCCCTCCTCGATCACCACCTCCATAGTTAATAGTCAGAACGAGTATCTGAAGTAACGTCAACATGCCATGTGGCACGTCTAATCAGTCTTTCATCAGCGTTGGACCAATGTCAACATGAAGACAACCAGGTACGTATCCACGCTCTCTCCACATTTCCGATCTCCTCCCGTATGACGATAATCAGAACAGCAATACAAGTCACGTAGCTTCGCTTCGTCCGCAAACAGAAGAACACGTGACAACAACTACATCAGCCAGTATTACACGTGGCAGCAACCACATCAGCGACAGCGCATGGCAACTGCCACGGCAGCATGCCAAGAAGACAGGTGCAAGCCAACCACCATGTTGGACCAGCAGCGCCTCGCCGAATCACAATGCCAGCGTCGCAGTGTCGAGCCAACATTGAAGTCAACGCGTGAAGTCAGCATCAACGCAAGACAGAATGAATGTCAAAGTCAGGGAGGTCAACGCTTAAGTAGCATTGACTCGGGGTCTGGACCCCGGATGCTGCAACCTTTAGCCGTCCAGATCTTGATGCAAACGAAGGCCCAGATTGGCCTGAAACTAAATTCCCTTCGGCCTGGATGCTTGTCTGGGTACCAGCGTACAATAAGTGAGTGTATCCAACCAAGGGCCTAGGCGCGGTACCTTTGACTACAGTTGATTTTGACCCTCGACTTTCCTGGGTGCAGCGTTTGCTCACACAACCAAACGCGACAGACTTAAGTCTGGGCGTGTCCTGGTCACACAGCCCAGCGCAGACCAATTTTGGTCTGCGTTGCCTGGGGCTGAGTTCTGGGCCCCAGACTACTTCTGAACAAGGTTACTGCATTCCTGCCGGCCCATTTTCGAGTTCCACCGCAGAAATCTTTAAGACTTCAACCCTCTTTCATTGGCATAAGCAGTAACAATATCCGGAGCAGTTTCAAGTAGTTCTCTTTTACTAAACCATTTGTCCTCAGATGGTGTCTGAGACTTAAAACGTACCTTGAACTACTTATGAGGTCGTCCACGTGCTCCCGTAGAGAAGTATCCATGCTCTATGATTTTGTCGACTCATATCTGCCTTCCATGGATGACGGAATCATAAAGGATCTGTTAGGAAATTATTTCCCTTTTACATAAGGCAACAGTTTCGATGCGTGAAAGACAGGATATGTTTTGATATGAGGGGGGATATCAATGAGATAAGACGGTCTCTATGCGTCTCTAATTACTTTGAGAACATCCCAGGGTCCAAAGTAGACAGGCAACAGTTTTTGAGATACATCTTCTTCTAATTAAAACTCTTTGGATTTAACCCAGACCAGATCACCGTCTTTAAATGTGGACGGTCGTCTATGCTTATTAGCTTGTTCAATCATTTGGTGTTGAGCTTTCTTTACGTTTTCTTTTACTTTCTTTATGTCGTCTTGAAATAAAACTACATATTATCGTGTCCCTGGAGGTAGCCTAAGGAATTGGTCCCGTGTTAACACATCAATGAGACACCTAGGTTTTCATCCTTTGTGCAGTGTGTTAGGCGTTCGTCCTGTAGCGGTGTGGACACTGCTATTATATGCACTGACTCTCTTGGGTAAGTTCCCATCTCAATCAATTTGATCAAATCTCACATACATGCGCAAGAGTTGTTGACACAATCGGTTCATTTGTTCACTTTGCTCATTCGTTTTAGGGTGTCGTCCTGACGACATGGTCAAATGTGTGTCGTATGCCTCCATCAGCTTTTGCCATGGCATACTTATGAACCTGGTATCTGGATCAGATACAATGGATAGAGGAAAACCATACTCAGTTATTCATTTCATCTGAAATTTCTGGATTACAAGTTCAGTCTTTGCTTCAACAAGTTAACTCCTCCTGTTATCTCCTTCTCCTCCTCCATACTCTTCTTTTCTCGTTTTTTATAGAGAGGAACCACATTGTTCCTTCTCACTTATCTCTTCCACTGTTATACCCCTTTCCCCCTTCTTGGATGTTGTTGATTCGTTGTTAATACTAATATCTTATTCTTGTAGGTGGGGAGTCTCGTGATTTAATAATTCACTGATTTGAAGTCTTTCTTGCCTTGACTCCGTGTCCACTACCGAGGAGTGGTTCTCCTTTCTGGAATCCTCCTTTTCTGAGGGGGCTGGGGTCTGAAACATTTATGCCATAATGCCCAAGATTCTCTGGCTAACTATCGACCAACATGCCCCTTCAGGTAGACCTTGTTCTAATACTTGGTTGAGATTGGGGCTACTATTGAGCAGGCTAAAAAGTCAAACATATGAAATATCCCAGAATTCAACCGTGTCTTCCCCATAGCGGGCCTTAAGGGTTTTAATTAGCCATTCATCTAAATGTTTCAGCCTATTATCCTATGATTGATTCTGCTTATATTGCATGGTTGCCTCCTCCATTTCAAAATCCTCTACTATTGGTTGAGAGTCCACATCCATTGGTACTGGTCCAAATGCCTCTAGAAACGGGTCAGAAACCATGTCTTTCATTTCTTGTTGCTCCTTATTAGGAGGTCTCTCTTCCTTCTCTTTTGCTTCTATCATCCGGACCATCTCTTCTTTTCTTGTTATCATATTTTGTGGAGATATTTGTATTGGCTCCTGAAAATCGGTATCCCTATTTGAACCTGTGATTTGCTTTCTTTTCCTTTTTTTCCTTTTTTTTTTTTCTTGACCTTCATTAACCAATTTATCTAGAGAAGTTTCAGTGAGAGTTCTCTCATCACTCTCATCCGGCTCTGAGTCTGAGTCATTCCCATTATCGAGTAAGAAAAAGGAACCTTTATTTCCTTGATCCATGTAATTGGTAGGTTGTGGTCCTAGTAATGCATTTCTCCATTCGTTGATCCCTTTCCCACCTTTGAGCACAGGTCTCCACTACTGCCGACCTAACACCCTTTTCCCCTTGCCCTGAGTTGAATTGTTGCGGGAGCGTGTCCAGGTTGGTCTTGTGCGTCCGCAAAAACAACCGCCACATGCCCTTCAGCCTGCCAAATGCCCTCTCCACCGCTCCCCTCGCCACCTTCTGCTTGTTGTTAAACCGCTCCTCGTCGACGTCCTGATTGACACCTCCATACGGGACGACCATCCATTCCGAAAGGGGGTAGCCATTGTCCGCCAGGATGTACCCGTCCGTCCGCATATCGAACGGTAGTGTCACAAGGGGACCACGGAACAACGACCCCGACTCTGTGTGCTGCCACAGGCTGGACAACTGGAGCACCCTCATGACATGGCAGCTACGCGGGCATCCCATGTGCACATTGAGCACATGCAAGTCCAGGTCGACGACAACCTGCGCGACGATGGAGAAACGACGCTTCCTGTCATAGTGGTTTTCGCTCGGTGCGTTCGCCGGCTTGTCCACGTAGATGTGAGTACAGTCAATGCAACCGTGGCAATTGGGGAACCCTTTATCAGCGAACGCCCGCAGAACGACGAGTTGACGAACTCCAGCCGGACAGGCAATCTTCTTTTTGTACACCCGGAGCAGCGCGGCAGTAACGTCGCAGACGGCAACCAGGCCTGAAGCTCTGCCAATCCCGAAGTTGCACATGTTGTTCTCGTATGTCTCCCCCGACGCCCACATGTAAAGTGTGTACACCACAATCTGGTTTGGCTGCAAAGACTCTCTATAAAATGTCACCCGCTGCTGAAGATGAGGCGCACACGCCTCCACGATTTCCCGGAACACTCGTGGTGACATACGTAGCTTCTCCCGGAAGTAGTTGTCTGTCGCGTCGTCGCATTGCCTAAGGTCTTCCCAAGTGCCTCCTGTCCTGCACTTCATCCACCACCTTGGCGTCGCTCGAGGAATCGCTCCGCAACTTAACGCGTAGCACGGCTGAACAATAGCCTTCGAGGTTGCCATGTCGTCGGGGCCATCGTCTGGAGCTTGTGTCAATGTCCTCCGTCTACACGCGCGCAGCTGCTCCTTCAGTCGTCCCAGCGCCCTCTTCTGCTGACATCGAAGAACAATGGTAGACACGGTCGCCGCTACGACCTGCAGCTCAAGAGGCATCAACACTGCACGTCCACCCTTTCCGCCGCCCTCCATAGCCGCAACCTGGACACGGACCCGTCGCTCCGCTGCCGTGTGTGTCGTCTTGAAAGCTTGCCCCTTTTCTCTGGATGCAGTCCTGCAGACGGAAATGTGTTTCAAGGCGTAGTCGACATGTCCGAAGGTCGACGGCGATGGACGCACCCAACGATGCCTGTGCACTCGCAATGGCCGGGGGACAGAAGTGACGCCGCCGCTGAGCCCGTTTCGGCAGTATGCCGTCTTCGTGCCGCGAACCGCACGTCGTCGTCGTCGTCACAGCCGTCATTCGAAATTCAAATTTCAAACATCGACGCCCCCCGAGTTAAATTTTTTTCCCGTCACCCGCCTCAACTCGTTTCCACGACCTTCATAGAAAATATGTTCATACTTGGAAGGAGAGCAGTGATATGGGCACTCTGGTGGCAGCGATGCATGCTTACCATGGAAAAGGAGAGAGTAGAGGAGCCAGAAATCACCGAACAGATTCAGCAGCAGGTACACTTCGAACTCACACAAAGATGGCTAGACACAAAAGCACAGCTAGACCATTTTAAACAAGTAGGAGATGTCAGGAGACGGATCACAGCATTTTGCACGAACTGGGTGGGAGGGGAGAGAGAAGGATGGATTGCAAGAGTGGAATGGAGTGGAGACAGAGGAGAGGGACAGAGGGATTTGGAAGAAATGAGGAACTACCGCACTAACATTGAACCTTCATTTCCCCTTCGCCCCCCACGGATTTTCCAGACCCTTTCCCACCCCATGCCCTCTCCTTGATAGAAACCCTGTCTTGAACGAGGTAACCTTGTCTTCTACACTTTACTCATATATAAAGAACTCCTCCCTGGAGCCCCCCGGGGAGGCTGCTTCTGCTGTCAAACATCCATACTTCATTTCCTTGTCTGAAGCACTCTGGTCTCCTTCCAGTATCTTGCTCAGTCAATGGCTTGGATCCCAGGGCAATCAATGCTGGCAAGACCCTCCCGGACATCTATTTTTTCTGATGTAGCTCAATTCCAATCTGTACAAGGGACGCTGGACCCGTTTTCCAGCAGGTGATGCTCCCCACCAATAGACTGGAGCCTCTCCCCAGGTGCTAGTGGTGTCTGCTCTTATCAGCACCACCAACACTGGCGGGGGTATGCTTAAAAAAAAAAAAAAAAAGTCGTTTCCCGCCACACGTTGCTGAACCACGCCGCCTCCACACGGACAAAAGACGGTGGACCAAGGACGACCGACCTCGCGGCCACTAATTTCTGTATGAAAACGGCCGCGGGCACGCCACAAGGAAACATCCTCGGGGTAGGTCCCCAAGGATGAGTGGAACGATGCCGCAAATTCCCCTTAAGAGCCATAAGGAAATTTCCTTGTGGCTCAAGGAACTCGTAAGGAGTGTCTAAAGAGGCCCTAAGTACAACTAGCAGGGGTTCAGTTCAGTTTTTTTTTTTTTTTTTTTTTTTTTTGCCCTCTTTCGTTCTTTTTTCAACGCACGCACTATGCGACTGTGAGACCTTCAGATGGGATGGCAGTAACCCCTGCTGGAACCCATGCTGTGCCTCTAGTGCCAGCGGCGTGTCTGGAGTGTATTTTTTGGCTGTGACAGACCTTTCTTTGTTTCGTGGATGTTTCGCTGGCTTGTGATGGGGTGTGAACCGACAGTCTGTAAAGTTTTCCATCTGGTGCGGGTGAGTGATAGTCTACTTGGATTTTGGTTAAGGTAGCTGCCCGGTAAGCCGTAGGCAGAGAGGTAGAAGATGACAACAAACAAGGGCCCGGGCTGTTATACCCTGGCTACCGTCTTCACCCAAATAGAGCGCCCTGTCATTATAGCTGTATTTGGCACAGCTTTCAGCCCAGATACGGCGATAATTACCGGGCGTTCTATTGGGGTGAAGACGGTAGTAAGTCTTAGCCACCAGTCCTCATGGGAATAGTCACTTCTCATAGCCGCCAAGGTTCTAGAAGGACCAATCTCCAAAAGCCAGCATTTTGAATGTATCTGGACCTCCTTTCTATTTTTCTTGAGTGACACTTCCTCTTTTTCTTTTCGAGGTCTCTTCATATCATGGCTGCTCTTTTCTTTTTTTTCTTTTTTAAAGGTGCTTCTATTCGCCAAACATCAGAAGCAATGACCATGATTCATATTCACAGTACCTGGTCCATCCATCGCCATGCAAAATCTCGACAGCTGGTGGCAAGTCTGGACAAGGACGAGGAGGAGGAGGAGGAGGGGGGCAGAGGGAGGAGGGGGAAGAGGAGGACTAGGAGGAGGAGGAGAAGGAGGAGGAGGAGGAGGAGGGAGCAGAGAGGGGAGAGAGAGTAGAATAGAGATGAGTAGGGTAGATTAACAGTAGAGATGAGTGGAGTTAGGGCATACTCACACTAGCTCTCTCTCGAATCCATCTCAGACTGACCCGTTTTACGGCTTAACCTGGATGTATCTGACTGCAATTACGTCCATAAATCAGTAAAAACGTCCTACTGTGAGTATGCCCTTATAGAGTAGAGTAGAGTAGAGTAGAGTGAAGTAGAATAGAGGGGGTTGAGGAATACGGGGCTATACATTTTTAGTTATTTTTTTAAAGGGGTTTATATATCCAAATGAATGACATTGTGCCAAAGCTGACTATAGTGAGCCTACCATCTTCACCTCAATAAAACACCTGGTCATCAAAGCCGCATTTGGGGTAACTTTCAGTCCAGATACAGCGATAATGATTGGGTGTTCTATTTGGGTTAAGACCTACGGCGACCTTCAGCTTTCATGCCTGTGGACCCTGCACGTCTTTGGACCCTGCGCCAGGCGCCAAGTCCCATTAGCTGCGTCGAGTTTCCTCAATGCACGAATTTGGATGTGTTTGCGGATAGGTGCGGTTTAGGAAAGTCAACGACTCAATGCTATTTTCTGCACATCTCCACAAGCACGGATTTCTGCACATCTCAAGATTCTCAACAACATCAACAAAAAAGAGGTAAGTACTTTCATGTCACTTTTTTCTTTTTTTTTTCATGTCACTTTTGAGTACAGTAACTATAGAAATAATAGAATAAGCAAAAAAAAAAAAATGGCCCCGCAAAGAAACCAGGTGCCGAGGTCCCACTAGCAAAGAGTATAGGAGAGAGCTGAATCTGGATGTGTTTTATGCAGAGATGCAGAAAAGCAGTTCAATCTCGATTTCCTGCACATCTCCATAACCTCGTCCAGATTCAGGTATTCGATCCGATCCTCTTTGTTAGTGGGACCATGCCACAGGTGCCGAGTTTGAAAAAGCAATGATGCCAACCGCCCGTGGCATCAGGCCGCGTGTGATATAACTAAAGGGTCGGCCGTGGTGTCAGACGGGGAAAGGGGAAAAAAATGCCCAACAGATACTTTTCGACCCAAATTGCCGTTTCGAAGGAGGTGCCGGCAAAGATGCGAACTCAAAACCTGCGGCGTCCGCCGTTGTTTCGAAAAAAAAAAAAAAAAAATTCTGAACAGGGAGAAGTCCAAGCTCTTCCAAGTTCCAATTGAGTGTTCTACCCATGTCCACCCTCTGAATCTACAATCTTGACCCAAGTAGAACGCCTGGGCATTATAGCTGTATTTGGGCCAACTTTCAGCCTAGATACAGCAAATATAACAGCGCCTTCTATCCAGGTGAAGAAGGTAGTAGAAACATATAATAGGATTTTTTCTTATTTTATTTTTTAAGGCTTCTGATCCGACAGTGCGTAAAGTGGACAATTTTGTTGAGAAATGCGGATCCCACAACTTTTCGATGTAGGAGGGGGCGGCACTTTGTTAGGAATACGTTTTCGAGTTTTGTGTACGTGGCGCGTAGTCCATGACGGACAGCCCAACGGCGCTACACAAAATGGAAAGCTCGAGGACCCCTAGCCCTACCGAAAAAGCTGCCGCAAAAATGAGTCGGCCTTAAAGTTTTCGATGTCCGCCAGTGGTCGCGTGGTCCGTCTGTGGAGCAGAGGACCGTGCGACGTGTGCGGGCTGCTTTCCCGGCAGTGCGACATTATGGGGCCCGCCCTTGTCCCGTGGTCGCTCAAGGCATTCTGTAGTTCCCGTTGGGTAGCGAAAGGAGCCGTTTTTTGAAGTGATGTGTGCGCGCTTCATCATTTTCGAATATTTTAAAACGAGGCGCGCGTGGTAGCATGTGTACAGCAGTCGTTTCCTGGCCGTTGGCAGAGTCAACGGAATTGCTACCATAGCCGGCGTGCGCAAGCAAGGCAGCAGTTTTGCAGTTTTCGTCGCCGTGCGCGGCAAACAGGTATGGAGCAGAACCGCAACCCGAGTCTGCCCTCATCAGCCTTGTCGTCCCGCATGGAATCTGCGAGCGGAGATGTGCCGCCATCGATCTCGGCAGCTGGAGCATGGCCAGGGGGGCGCAGCGCGGCTCCACGGTCCCTTCTATGCCCGGTGGTCACCCCCCTTTGCCCACTTTCAAGGCACTTCCGCAGTGGGACTGTCGAAATGTGTTCTCGCCACCAACGTCGGACACATACACAAGCATGCCTCCGCAACGTGCTGAGTCCTCCTCCTCCCTCATGGGCCAGGCTGCCGGTGGCCAACCGCAATCAGCGTTTCAAAGAGGTTTTCCCGCGCCGATGGGGTGGGGCATGCCGCATGAGCACGCAGGCGTTCCACTTATGCAGCGGTCGAGGTCCTTCGATGACTCAATTACACGTGGGAGAGTCCATACGGGCGTGGAGGGCGAAGATGGTAGAGCGGTGATGCAGACTTCCACCACCATGGAAGTCAGCCTTCGCGGGCAGGTGGAGACGCAAAGAGGGGCCTTTGGTAGGGGAAGTGCTCCCCCCCCTGCCCCATCGCCCGATCGAATGGATTTCACGCCGCAGGCAATGGAAGATGGGGACAGTCAGCGGCCCTGAGGCTCCCCCAATGTAGCAGCGCCACATGCCTTTCAACCTCCCGAAGCATCTTTCGATGCTTGCTCGTAGAGCCAATAACTTAGTGTCGAAGGCAGATTCCGCTGCATTGCGTGCATTGCCC